GAGCATTGCAGAAAAGCAAACTTTGTAACGTCATTCTTATGATTTTCATTATTGTGTCACGTCGCTGAAAGTAGGGGGTCTTGATACTAGAAATCACGGATATCATTTCAGCGTTTTTGTCCCGCCCAATCCATGTGGTCAATCCGTCAAGGTATGTTCCCTTCTTCTCTTGCTCTCTTCCCGCCAATCTTGCCAGCTGTCTTCGCGTCTATTTTGTTCCGATGATGTCAGAATTAAAGTCCAGGCTGCTATACGTAAGATGTGCAGAACTACTACACTTAATAGATTTATCGTTATTACGTTACCAGTTAAACAATAAATTCAAGCTAGGTCACAATCTAAAAAAAGTTTTATTTTCCCCCGGCGGTACGCAATGTTGTACAGTACCGGCACCAATCGTTTCCAGCGCTGATTTAATCAACACTGATGAGCCCGACACTGTAGAAGCTGACGAGTAAAGGTTACTGTGGGGGTGGATGGGATTGCGAAATCAAAACTGGTTTAATCAGTTTTTCCCTCTTACTTCTGTGACTGCGGTTCAGTTCTTAGCGGGAATTTTCTTAAGCTTATAGTATCATACAGTATTCAGTTTTGCCAAATGCTCAGTGCATCGTGTGAACACGTGTTAACTGCAGCAGCTTTCATTAGCAGGCAGTGCTGCGTGTAACAGGCAGTACTCAATGGTACGTACTGTGTTCACACTACATGACTAAAACAAGACGCGCTCGGCGCCCCCCCCCCCCCCCCCCCCACACTTTTCGACTCTTTCTACCGGCGCGCTGTTTCACATACGAGTGCATAAGTGCAAGAATCTGTAAGCTTGATTTGAACAATGACTGCCGAGCCAGCAGGCAAGCGTTGTCTTCTGATACAAAGATGCACATCTACGTATATTTCGGTATTTTTTAAGAACACGTTTAGCAGTCGTTACGTATGCGTCTGTCGGTCGTCACCGTTTGACCTTTGCACTCAACAAATTTCAGCTACAGTAGTCACCAGAAAGCGACACCTACAGATGTAGACATTAAACTAACATGATCACTCTTTACGACAGTAGATCATTCAGTCCGAAGACGTTTGTAATAAGTACAACTATTTACACTTAGCTTAGCGAAGGTTGTCACTTTGGTGTTGGTCGCTGAAGTCACGTACTTTTATTTCCTCATTGGCCCAGCCTGCACCGTTTATGTTGACTCAGAAAGGACAACGAGTTAGCTTGGCCGTTCAGGGGGGCGATTTCATGTAAATGGAAATCTTTCATTTGAAACTTTTACCTTTTAGAATGAACTTATGTTTTACAGCAACGGTGTGTGGTAGGTGTTATACATATGTAAACATCGTCTCTAGTTGTTTGACTGTCGTCTGTTTATTGTCGGTGATTTATATCAACATTCTCACACCCCTTCATCTCTTAAGTGGTCATTTAGTGAAGATCGTCTAAACAGACCCTAGAACCTCCTAAGCAGATTTATCTGAGGCAGAATATCTTAAATACGCTATGCAGTCTGTATGTTAGCTGAGCTAGCTATCAGACGAACTACGACCAGATCCAGATATATGGAGCTGGCCGTAGACGAAGATGCGCGTTTAATCACCACATCCTAGTACATTCATCCTGGCAAACCATTTTTTTTTTGTGTGTGGAAGGTTAGTGTTCATATTTGTCTTTCCGCGGTGAACTCCACAATCTTTTCGACACAGATGATACTTGTTGAATTGAAATTACTCATTCCTCCGTTCCCTGACCCATTCTTTGACAGTTTGGTTTACTATGGGTGTCGTGAAAATTTAATATGCAACCTCACGCAGAAGCTGCTATTTCGCCTGTTTCATATAGCCACTTTTGGTTGTGGAGATAGCCTAATTTTTTTTTTTTTTTACCTTCATGAGTTTTTTTTTTTTTTTGGGGGGGGGGGGGGGCACAGTACAACGTGCACATAAACCGTGTTTTTCTTCAAGCCTTTGGGTTATAGTAGTTGGTTGTAAACTAGCAGCAATGATGTAATCATGACAGCAGCAGAGAATCGTGCACGTCATTCTTCTGCCACGAACAAGGTCTACAAGGCGTTGCATGATTCACGATTCGTTCATCAGTAGCCAGGACCCTACGGGGTTTTTTTTTTTTTGGGTTCTGTCTTTACCTAGTAGAATCGATTGTTAAGTTAACTAACGAGAAAACGTGTGCTCTTCTGGCTTGTCTCTCCACTCCATCCTCTTACTTCACTCACCGTTAATGATGGAATTTTCCTATGCTGGTTGTAGAGAGAACTGTAATAAAAGACTAATTCATATTGTCGCCTAAGCTTTCAGACTTGATGGCGGGGAAATCCAATAGTTGTAGAGAATCTGACTAACGAATAATACAGATTATGTATTTTTGCTGATATCTCGCTGATTTGGCTACGTATGCAACGTTGTAATCATCATTAAACGCCTTTTGTAGAAAGTCATTACAGCTCCCAGGAAATTTCACCACCTGTCAGGCAGTTCTCCTTGCTCCTCCTTTTTTTTTTTTTTTGTTTGTTTAGCAAGTTAGCGCCGATTTTAGTATTTAGAGTATTCATAAATTGTCCATGATTTAAATCCGTATGTTGTCGCAGGAAAGATGCGTGTTCTGAAAATGCCACCTGTATGTGTACTACGCCTGTAGTCTACCAGGACGTGGACAGTTATAAATAATGTGGTAGTTTCCCCCCAAACATCACTCACGTGTTCTGACATATCATGTTCTAATCTTTGATAAAGATGGTGTGTAATTGATTTCCCTCTTGCAGTCTAGTTTTCCTACGATCAGAAACATGGGAAAGTAAAACAAGTACGTCAACTGGAATAAATACTGATCGCCGACAGGCTTAATGAAAAAGAAACTAAGGGTACGCAAAAGATCCGGAAGCTTTGTTCTGAGTGGCATACAAACCCGAACCTCACGAGGTGACCTATTTGGAATTTACGCTTTTATCGACACGGCACATGATAATGATGTACACTTTTAAGTCAATGGTATAAGTTTTTGTCTGCCATGCAAGTGTGAGTTTTAACGGCTACACGCAACGGATGATACATAGCTGGGATGCAGTTTATGCTGAAAGAACGTAATTTGGTGCCGTTCATGCCTTGATCGATTTTATAAGATCTGTGTTCTTTTTGTTAACGTGTTGTAATTTGAGATTTTAGAACATGAAGTGAGTTTACACAAGCAACGGAGAGTTGATGGCCGGGACGCTTTTAGATGCACGTGTACACAGGCTGTACAAATATTGTGATACAAGAGTTGCTGAATTATTGACTGGGAACCCTTTAGACACCACTTTTAGATGCACGTGTGCACAGGCTGTACAAATATTGTGATACAAGAGTTGCTGAATTATTGACTGGGAACCCTTTAGACACCACTTTTAGATGCACATGTGCACAGGCTGTACAAATATTGTGATACAAGAGTTGCTGAATTATTGACTGGGAACCCTTTAGACACCACTTTTAGATGCACGTGTACACAGGCTGTACAAATATTGTGATACAAGAGTTGCTGAATTATTGACTGGGAACCCTTTAGACACCACTTTTAGATGCACGTGTACACAGGCTGTACAAATATTGTGATACAAGAGTTGCTGAATTATTGACTAGGAACCCTTTAGACACCACTTTTAGATGCACGTGTACACAGGCTGTACAAATATTGTGATTCAAGAGTTGCTGAATTATTGACTGGGAACCTTTCGCGTCCCCAAGTAAGGCCCAGTAATTTGGAAAAGAGCATTTTACAGAATGCTCGCCATGCCAGATTCAGACTGCAATTTAAATTTAGATACATCTCACATATACAAATTTAATGGGATGAATAGCGTCCCCGAATGTGGGTTTATGAAGCCCAGTTTTTTTGGGAGAGGGTGTGGGTGTATGTTAGACCTACTAATGTCGAAAAAAACGTTTAGCCAAAAGGGACTGATAAATTATGTTTAAGCAGTAGGGATGTGAGTAATGAGGATGTCTTTGAAAAATTACTCCACGAAGAGAACTGATTACCCAAAGCAGAAGGCAACAAATCTATCTACATTCTTTGATCACGTCGTATGAGAATTAGAGTGCATTGTGATGTTAGGAGAGTTAAGAGGAGAAGGAGCCGAGGGAGAACCAGGGGTGCTAGGTAGCATTATATCATGGAACATTATCTGCCCAGAGTTTAATAAAAATTTCGCGGGACAATGGTTTGACGAATCATGACACTGTAAGAGGGACTGGAAGGAAAGCATATCGCAGACTAGCTGCAGTAAACGAACTCACCATGTCAACCACGTTTTATGGCCAATGCGTGGTTTCTACAACTGGCCAGCGTTCAAGTGACGATTGAAAGAGCATGGATTTGTGCGATGTCCTGCCACTGTGTGGGTGGTTCCCTCTTCCCCTTTTCCCTTTATTAAATAACCCTGGCACGCTGTATATAATTATATTTATCAAACGCGTGGGCGTCACTAGATATCGTTTGTCTGAAAGACAGTACTCTATCTAAGGGTATATTATATTCTTGTCAGTTTGTTTGGCTGTAGGGTTGCTATCCACATTAAAACCTTTTTCGGATTGAACAGACACGTCCCTACAGAGACAGTTTCTTCCACCAATTGTAATTCTCACAAAGTATGATATTTTGGGTTGGGGGGGCTGTTTTAACGTGTTTCTCAAATAACCACGAGTTTGCAATCTGTTTCTGAATGACAGTGTGTGTGTGTGTGTGTGTTTCACTGCTACTTGTACATATGAATTATATTCACGTGTTGGATATTGGGACAAAGGTGCATTATTTATAGTTTTACCATCCTGTCCTTTTAACTTCCCGTGAATTTATAAATTGTCCTGTCCATCTACTTTCTCTGAATTTCCGCGTCCATATGAGCATCTTTAAACATGTGAGACATCATTTATTGTGTTATATTTGTTAAACAATTATGTCATTGAAACAATTGGCATGATTATAACTGAATCATTTATATCGTCCCCAGGATGTAAAATCAAAGATTTGAGAGCAAGGACCAACACATACATTAAGACGCCAATGCGAACGCAGTCACCCGTGTTCGTTGTGACTGGAAAGGAGGAAGCCGTACTGCTGGTCATGGATGAGATTCAGCATGCTGCCGAACATTTCACACACATTCGTGCCTCCCGCAATCACCACAAGGCGGCAGGTGGGGGTCTTGATGCCAGCAAGACCATGAGTCGGGAGGGAGATGTGATGATACAGGTCACAGTACCATACCGTGTTGTTGGACTGGTTGTTGGCCTAAAGGGACAGACCATTAAGGCTATCCAGCAGGAAACGGACACGTTCATTGTTACACCCAACCGAGACAAGGCTCCTATTTTTGAGATCCGAGGTCAGCCTGAGAATGTAGAGAGGGCCAAGATGATGATACTACGACACATTGAAACCCGCACCAAACACTGCCGACTGCAGGATACCACTAATCTGCCAGCCAGCTGGGGTGACGACCAGAGGCAGAATGGCAATGATTATACATATTGTCATGACACAAACCAGCAGAACAGCCATAGTTCTAGTGGCATCAATGGCCACAGCAATTTCAGTAACAACGGCAGTATTCCGAATGGTATTGGGTTTAATTCTCAGAATACAGGCTTTAACATGTTCTCGACCACAAGTCCCCCAGCACAAGGTAACAACAACTGGAGAGGTTATAGTACCACAGCTGATCAAATGCCCACTCAGAATGGAAATTTTTCTACAAGCTGGAGCATTGCCACATCTGACTATAACCCAGTTCTGTGCTCTCTGCCCTCCCTGTCAAATCGAACCAACAATTTATTGAATTCAGTTAGAAGTAACAACAGTTTTCCATTCAACATGTCTGTGGGTAGCACCTCATCATCGTCCAACAGCTCTTCAAGCATTTCACCCCATCAAGAGTTCATTGGTGAAGGTTCCTTCTCTAGCCAGCAGTTACCCAATACATTTGGAGCTTCCTTAAATAGCCCATCTTTAAGAAGCATCAATGATCCAATGGAACCATCAGCTTTTACCAGCTTCCCTCTTCTCACATCAGCACCGACTACATCGACCAAAGGAAGCTTAGTTTTGGGCAACCTTTTTCAGTCTAACAGTGTCACATCCAACCTGGGAATGAACATGATGAGCGGAATAGATAGCATGATCAATGGCGTCTTGAGCTTACATGGAGGGAAAACAAGAAGGGGATCTCAGCTGCTATCCATCTTCGACGAAAAACACATCTTTTCCTGGAGGTCTTGCAGATGTCAGTTTTTTCACTGCACAGAGAAATGGTTTTGTTAGTGGCGACTCCAGTCCCACAAGCAAAAGCTGCTCATTTAGTGAATCATCTGGATCTCAGAGCTCGCCTACACCCAGATTGTGTAAAATCTGTGAGGAGGCCGATGTTGTCGCTGCTTTAGTTCCTTGCGGTCATAATCTTTTCTGCATGGAATGTGCCGAAGGAATTGTCAACAGATCTACAGAGGCTGAAAGGAAATGCCCAGTCTGCAAGGATGTAGCAGCTGATGTTCTCCGCATTAGAGCTTAAATTTTTTTTATCCAGATTTCAGTGCTAAACATGCCAAGTTATAGCCAGGCTTACACATAATTTATTTACACAATGGCACTGTCAGATATTTACATCTAATCACAAATAATTCACGAACAATTTTTATGAACATGGAGAAATTTTGCCTGTAGTACTTAGTTACAGTTTGTGTCTCATCATCTCACTTGATATAAGCATCTGGGACAACATAAAGCCTTTATTGGTTGTCCTATATTTGCCATTTTACAATAATGCCAGATGTAGTTGCTGATGGACCGAACGAAAATTGTATACATAGTGCTGCTGGAAATTATGCAACTGTGACATCATCAACTTGGGAATCTAAAGTAAACTCTTTATCCATTGTTAATAATCTACAAATTAAAGTTTTTAATTAGTCTACAAAACAACATTAACCTCACAAAGAACATATCCACAGTTTATTCGACTGATTCAGTAACTGAAATCTTAACAATATGAAACTATAAATGAATACACAGATTTATTGTTTTTCTTGTAATTTCTTGCCAGTCTGCTCTGCATGCAGAGTTTAAGTAGACTTTTGTGTGTTCAACAAAAATCAGACTGTCATTAGTGCAAACAGCCCACACAAATTCCTATACTGAGTCAAAAAGAACAATATATTTTAATCAGCAATTTTGTTGACAAATAAAACAAACATTGTGCAGTTGTTGTTGTTCAGGGATGCTGGTTGTCTGCCAGTTTTTTTCCGCTGTAAACAGATATTCTGATTGATCTGATGAAGCAATTTAATCTCTGGCTGTAGTAAATTATGTTTGTAGAAATTGAATAACGAAATTTGTGTTATTTTATTTATCGATTAAGGATTAATAGATCCACAGACCAAACTAATCCTTTGTAGGTTGATTAGTGCCTCAATTAATTATTCGTTTACTCTGAAGAGCTAACGTCTCTTAATGTGTATGCACGTTTGTATGTCAAGAAGCTCTGGGCAGATTTTGAACGGGGCAGAAAAATCATGAAAGTGCATAATGGGAAGTATCTGTATTGAAGTACATGCCATGTTAACATTCATATCCTTGTTTGTTTCTATTATTCACATGTTAAATTATGTGGAAGTACCGGGCAGTTAGCAGTATAATTTGTGTGTGTATGCTCATTCATGTCATTCATGTTGTTGGTTGAAGTTTCAACATGTGATTCACCTTGTATAAGCATAATATGTGTCAGATTAAATACCCATATTGTGGTTCCATTGTCAAGAGATAATTTGACAAGATACATTTCCTTTTTTTTTTCCTTTACTTCATTCCAATATTCAGACTCAGTGACTTATTTTGAAAATAATCACAAATGAAATCTATAAGAATCAAAGTGTATTATGCAAATTTTATTTTTACTAAGTATTTTCTATTTTCATAGAATGTCTTAAAGAACAACAGTCTATATTTTATCTTTGAAATAACTTTGCTCATTTCAAACACAGCCATTGGCATTTTGCTTACAAATGGTAGTTTATCTAGTTGGGAGAAAGGAACAAATGTTTGTGTGATTCTTTTATAGAAAACAGCTCTAGAAGAAATGACAAAACTTTGCAACTTAATCCTAAGGATTAATATACTGTTCTAAAGATCTGAATGTATTTTCTTCAATGATTTGTGTCAAACCACTTCAGTAAATCCACGTACCATTGAAAGGTGTACAATCTTCAAGCCTAAGTTAAGAGAAAGCTATTTATCTGTATATATATTTGTATATGTTAGTTTGAAAGTATGTTTATTGTTCATATAAAATGCTATCATTATTTAAATGACATTACTATTACCAAAATATTGCTAAAGTGCGCATATATTTATTGTTCAGTATTTCTTTGCACAATACTTCACCCATTTTCATTCAGTCACAACTTGTAATAAATACTGTTAAAGCCATTATTTAATATTGACATAAATACATTACACGCGTTGTTTGAAGAAAATATATGCAACGTAAATATCCGAGGGATACAGATAATATACTACGATAAACACACACAAATGTTCAGTTTTCTTTACAAATATTCATTTAATAATAGGAATAACAGTTCTTCACACATTTCAGACACATACACACCTGTCGGTAAGATGTCCGTATTCTTCCATGTGTAATGTACATAATTGTATACAAAATATTAGCAAACAGATCAAAACTCCCCATTTTCTGTTGTATTTTTTTTTAAACAAGATGCCTGTGAATACGATGTATTATATATATATATATATATTAAATAAACGTGTTATTATTTGACATGGTTGTTCTATTTTGGGTTTCACCCACGTAAGTCGAAGTTCCGACTTGATAAATATTACTTTTAATGAACTATTTTGTTTGCTCTGTTATACTGAATATTAATATTATGAAGAGAGAAGTCGAAATACATGACATAAAAGTATTATATCTAATAAATGATAGAAATGACTATACGCTGAAGATATAACACACAAAGAACTTCTGCAGACACACGCAAGTATTTCCTTTTCTGTTAAATACGTTACATGCTTTTTCACTTTTGTATGGACATTTTTTTTAAAAGAAAAAAAAATGAAAAAACTGAATAAAAATTATTTTTTTAAAAATAGTATGGTAATAATAAGTGGCTTATTAAATACACAAATGAGTATTTATATGTGCATTTTGTTGTTTGTTTGACTATTACCTTGTTGCATGACAATATATGATCAGTCAGAACATCATAATGGACCCATACAGAATACACATCTATTGCCTTCTCTTGTTATGTTTTATATGCAATGAATTTATGATTATATATATAAATCTTACTGTTTTTTCCCCCCTCACTGATTGTTCTGCACATTATTTGTTCTATTTACTTTAGATGTAACACTGCAGGAGTAATTGATCACTTTTCACTGATTTTCTCAGCAAAGGTACACACCATTTTTATAAGATGTGATAAGTTCACCACCTCTTGTACACAGTTCTTCTTGTCTTTTATATTTGCATCTGTCTTCATAGAAACTGTTTGCTAAAACACAGCAATAGCTTGGAATAGGGTTGTGTTAGGACACAGTAAATAGCTTGCGGTTGACAGTATGCTGAGACATGGCACATACTAAGACATTGCACAACAGCATAGAACTGCAGGTATCCTCCAGTTCCAGGACATGGCACATAGCTTGAAGTGGATGGTATGCTAAGTCATGGCACATAGCTTGAGGTGGACAGTTTGCTGAGACATGGCACATAGCTTGAGGTGGACAGTATGCTGAGACATGGCACATAGCTTGAGGTGGACAGCATACTAAGACATTGCACAACAGCATAGAACTGCAGGCATCCTCCAGTTCCAGGACATGGCACATAGCTTGAAGTGGATTTAGCACAAAGCTTTAAGTGGCTGGTATGCTAAGATTTAGCACATATCTTAGTGGATGGTATGCTAAGACATGGCACATAGCTTGAGGTGGACAGTATGCTGAGACATGGCACATAGCTTGAGGTGGACAGCATACTAAGACATTGCACAACAGCATAGAACTGCAGGCATCCTCCAGTTCCAGGACATGGCACATAGCTTGAAGTGGATTTAGCACAAAGCTTTAAGTGGCTGGTATGCTAAGATTTAGCACATATCTTGAAGTGGATAGTATGCTAAGACATGGCACATAGCTTGAAGTGGTTGGTATGCTAAGACGTGGCACATAGCTTTAAGTGGTTGGTATGCTAAGATTTAGCACATATCTTGAAGTGGATAGTATGCTAAGACATGGCACATAGCTTGAAGTGGATAGTATATTAAGATATTTCACGGCAGATTGGAGCTGCAGGCATGCTAGGGCATTGTACAGTGTCTAGCGACAGGCACCTAACAGGACTCTTGGAGACCAAAGGCTAAGATGCCTATTGTAGACAGATTATGCCGACTGCAGCTTTACCCACACCTGATTATTTGCAAAGTTTGTTTGGCAAGTTACCTGTGTTTCTGTGTTTTTAGCAAACAGTGGAAGCTTCAAGTTATGTATCAGATTTTTTGAGTGCGTGGTTCTGTGGCTTAGAAATTGGAGAATGACTTCCACAATTTCATGACCATGGTGGATTTCTTTCTGTTTTAAATGATCTTTTTTGGTGGAAATCAGACAGTGGTAGGAATAATATTATGGAAGAGGTTGGGGCCTTAGCACGTAATAATATTCTCAAAGATGGCAGTGCATGCATGTGCTGCAGCCAAGCATTGTTGAGGCAATTTTTGTGTGTACTCACATGTGAATTTCCTGAGACAAATGGTCCTCTGTGTTGACTTAGAGATAAATGCTAAAGTGGCAGATGAATTCATTCTTCCTCAGGGGCTGAGACTGTCAATAGGGGTTTGCCAGGAAACTAGTCTGCTCGTTAACATGCTAACATTTTCAGTATGGCCTAGTAAACTAGCATAAGGAATATTTGCAGAAAAATAGAGCTGGAGGATGCTTGGTTTTAATCCTGTAGGTCATTGTTTTTCTTCATGGAGATATTAATATATCTTGGAGGAGTTGAGTGGGGCAGGTTGTTGCAGAAACCTGGTTAGCTTAAGTCACTGCTGGGCTAGTTAATACAATGTTGGAGGTTGGCTGTATGATTGGACATATAACCACTTAAATGATGGGGTAATGTGACATATTGGATTTGGTTATTTTACAGTCAGACATGCTGCTGGTGAAGTTACATGGCAGTTACTAGTAACATAGAGGTTTTTTGGTAAGTCACAGAGGTGGTGTTACTCACAAGGCAAGAA